CTATAGGACGTTTCACCCCAAAACAGTCAACTTCACCTTTTTCTCAAGTGCATATGGAACCTTCTCCAGAATAGATCACATCCTGGGCCATAAACCTAGTCTTGGTAAATTCAAAAAAATTGAAATCATTCCAGTCATCTTTTCTGACCACAGTGCAGTAAGATTAGATCTTAATTACAGGAAAAAAAATTATTAAAAATTCAAACATATGGAGGCTAAAAAACACGCTTCTGAATAACCAACAAATCATAGAAGAAATCAAAAAAGAAATCAAAATATGCATAGAAATGAATGAAAATGAAAACACAACAACCCAAAACCTATGGGACACTGTAAAAGCAGTGCTAAGGGGAAGATTCATAGCATTACAGGCCTACCTCAAGAAACAAGAAAAAAGTCAAATAAATAACCTAACTCTACACCTAAAGCAACTAGAGAAGGAAGAAATGAAGAACCCCAGGGTTAGCAGAAGGAAAGAAATCTTAAAAATTAGGGCAGAAATAAATGCAAAAGAAACTAAAGAGACCATAGCAAAAATCAACAAAGCTAAAAGCTGGTTTTTTGAAAAAATAAACAAAATTGACAAACCATTAGCAAGACTCATTAAGAAACAAAGGGAGAAGAACCAAATTAACAAAATTAGAAATGAAAATGGAGAGATCACAACAGACAACACTGAAATACAAAGGATCATAAGAGACTACTACCAGCAGCTCTATGCCAATAAAATGGACAACTTGGAAGAAATGGACAAGTTCTTAGAGAAGTATAACTTTCCAAAACTGAACCAGGAAGAAATAGAAGATCTTAACAAACCCATCATAAGCAAGGAAATCGAAACTGTAATCAGAAATCTCCCAGCAAACAAAAGCCCAGGACCAGATGGCTTCACAGCTGAATTCTACCAAAAATTTAGAGAAGAGCTAACACCTATCTTACTCAAACTCTTCCAGAAAATTGCAGAAGAAGGTAAACTTCCAAACTCATTCTATGAGGCCACCATCACCCTAATTCCAAAACCAGACAAAGATGCCACAAAAAAAGAAAACTACAGGCCAATATCACTGATGAACATAGATGCAAAAATCCTTAACAAAATTCTAGCAAACAGAATCCAACAACATATTAAAAAAATCATACACCATGACCAAATGGGCTTTATCCCAGGAATGCAAGGATTCTTTAATATCTGCAAATCAATCAATGTAATACACCACATTAACAAATTGAAAGATAAAAACCATATGATTATCTCAATAGATGCAGAAAAAGCCTTTGACAAAATTCAACATCCATTTATGATTAAAACTCTCCAGAAAGCAGGATTAGAAGGAACATACCTCAACATAATAAAAGCTATATATGACAAACCCACAGCAAACATCACCCTCAATGGTGAAAAATTGAAAGCATTTCCCCTGAAGTCAGGAACACGACAAGGGTGCCCACTCTCACCACTACTATTCAACATAGTTTTGGAAGTGTTGGCCACAGCAATCAGGGCAGAAAAAGAAGTAAAAGGAATCCAGATAGGAAAAGAAGAAGTGAAACTCTCTCTGTTTGCAGATGACATGATCCTCTACATAGAAAACCCTAAAGACTCTACCAGAAAATTACTAGAGCTAATCAATGAATACAGTAAAGTTGTAGGATATAAAATTAACACACAGAAATCTCTTGCATTCCTATAGACTAACAATGAGAAAACAGAAAGAGAAATTAAGGAAACGATACCATTCACTATTGCAACAAAAAGAATAAAATACTTAGGAGTATATCTACCTAAAGAAACAAAAGACCTATACATAGAAAACTATAAAACACTGATGAAATAAATCAAAGAGGACACAAATAGATGGAGAAATATACCGTGTTCATGGATTGGAAGAATCAATATTGTCAAAATGGCTATACTACCCAAAGCAATCTATAGATTCAATGCAATCCCTATCAAACTACAAACAGTATTTTTCACAGAACTAGAACAAATAATTTCACAATTTGTATGGAAATACAAAAAACCTCGAATAGCCAAAGTAACCTTGAGAAAGAAGAATGGAACTGGAGGAATCAACCTGCCTGACTTCAGACTATACTACAAAGCCACAGTCATCAAGACAGTGTGGTACTGGCACAAAGACAGAAATATAGATCAATGGAACAGAATAGAAAGCCCAGAGAGAAATCCACGAACCTGTGGTCACCTTATCTTTGACAAAGGAGGCAAGGATATACAATGGAAAAAAGACAACCTCTTTAACAAGTGGTGCTGGGAAAACTGGTCAACCACCTGTAAAAGAATGAAACTAGAACACTTTCTAACACCATACACAAAAATAAACTCAAAATGGATTAAAGATCTAAATGTAAGACCAGAAACTATAAAACTCCTAGAGGAGAACATAGGCAAAACACTCTCCGACATAAATCACAGCAGGATCCTCTATGACCCACATCCCAGAATTTTAGAAACAAAAGCAAAAATAAACAAATGGGGCCTAATGAAACTTAAAAGCTTTTGCACAACAAAGGAAACTATAAGCAAGGTGAAAAGACAGCCTGCAGATTGGGAGAAAATAATAGCAAACGAAGCAACAGACAAAGGATTAATCTCAAAAATATACAAGCAACTCCTGAAGCTCAATTCCAGAAAAATAAATGACCCAATCAAAAAATGGGCCAAAGATCTAAACAGACATTTCTCCAAAGAAGACGTACAGATGGCAAAAAAACACATGAAAAGATGCTCAACATCACTCATCAGAGAAATGCAAATCAAAACCACAATGAGGTACCATTACACACCAGTCAGGATGGCTGCTATCCAAAAGTCTACAAGCAATAAATGCTGGAGAGGGTGTGGAGAAAAGGGAACCCTCTTACATTGTTGGTCGGAATGCAAATTAGTACAGTCACTATGGAAAACAGTGTGGAGATTTCTTAAAAAGCTGGAAATAGAAGTGCCATATGACCCAGCAATACCACTTCTGGGCATACACACTGAGGAAACCAGATCTGAAAGAGACACGTGCACCCCAATGTTCATCGCAGCACTGTTTATAATAGCCAGGACATGGAAGCAACCTAGATGCCCATCAGCAAATGAATGGATGAGGAAGCTGTGGCACATATACACCATGGAATATTACTCAGCCATTAAAAAGAATTCATTTGAATCAGTTCTAATGAGATGGATGAAACTGGAGCCCATTATACAGAGTGAAGTAAGCCAGAAAGATAAAGACCATTACAGTATACTAACACATATATATGGAATTTAGAAAGATGGTAACAATAACCCTATATGCAAAACAGAAAAAGAGACTCAGATGTATAGAACAGACTTGTGGACTGTGTGGGAGAAGGCGAGGGTGGGATGTTTCAAGAGAACAGCATCGAAACACGTATATTATCTAGGGTGAAACAGATCACCAGCCCAGGTTGGATGCATGAGACAAGTGCTCGGGCCTGGTGCACTGGGAAGACCCAGAGGGATTGGGTGGAGAGGGAGGTGGGAGGGGGGACTGGGATGGGGAATACATGTAAATCCATGGCTAATTCATTTCAATGTATGACAAAAACCACTGCAATGTTGTAAAGTAATTAGCCTCCAACTAATAAAAATAAATGGAAAAAAAAAACCATGATGAGGTATCTCGTCACTCCAGTCAGGATGGCTGTCATCAAAAACATAAATAGCAAATGTTGGCAAGGATATGGAGAAAAGGGAACCCTCCTACATTGTTGGTGGAAATTGGTGTGGTCACTGGAGAGCAGCAGGGAGGTTTCTCAAAAAACTAAAAATAGAACTGCCATATGATTCAGCAGTTCCAATCCTGGACGTATATCTGGAAAAGATTAAAACTGTAATTTGAAAAGATACATGCACCCCAGTGTTCATAGCAGCGTCATTTACAATTGCCAAGATAAGGAAGCAACCTGAGTGTCCATTAAGAGATAAATGGATAGTGAAGGTGTGGTGGTTTTGAGAATCAGGATGTCTCTGGCCAGGTGGTGCATGTGCAGAGGTCTGTTAACTCACTGTGCCCTTGCGAAACAACCTGAGTTTGTATATTAATGACATGGTATATTATATTATATGAAATTAAAAGACGCTTGCTCCTTGGAAGAAAAACTACGACCAACCTAGACAGCATATTAAAAAGCAGAGACATTACTTTGCCAAAAAGGTCCATCTAGTCAAAGCTGTGGTTTTTCCAGTAGTCATGTACAAATGTGAGAGTTAGACTATAAAGAAAGCTGAGTGCTGAAGAATTGATGCTTTTATTTTAAACTGTGGTGTTGGAGAAGACTCTTGAGAGTCCCTTGGACTGCAAGGAGATCAAACCAGTCAATCCTAAAGGAAATGAGTCCTGAATATTCATTGGAAGGACTGATGCTGAAGCTGAAGCTCCAATACTTTGGCCACCTGATGTGAAGAACTGACTCACTGGAAAAGACCCTGATGCTGGGAAAGATTAAAGGTGGGAGGAGAAGGGGATGATATGGTTGGATGGCATCACTGACTTGATGGATAAGTTTGAGTAAGCTCCAAGTTGGTGATGGACAGGGAAGTCTGGCATGCTACAGTCCCGTGGGCTTGCAAAGAGTCGGACACAGCTGAGCGACTGAACGGAACTGAAATGATGCCTCATGTATTTCCTGTTAATTTCTGATAACTTATGATAGGCACTCTAGCAAAAGTTTGGGTTCAGATACATCTGTCTAATTTTTCAGCTATATTCCAAGAAGGGATTGAGAACAAGGACGTGTGGGGCAGGAGAGACTGGGCAATATAAGATAAAATTAATTGTCTAGGGAACTTGGGGAAAATTAAACTGATGGAAATTGTATATGTATACTAACTCAGCATTTAACCCCGTTATCCCTTGCACTGTATAGTTTAATCTCACTCACTAATAGAGCTGCTTAATGAATAGTAAATATATGCCACACATTTTTTCAGCTATCAAGAACCTTAAACATAAAGACTATATTACCTGTGTTTCTGGTCAAGTATCTTGCTATTGCTAGACTCTGGTGAAGTTTAAGTCCATCAACTTCCAAAATGGGGATTTTGCCAAATGGAAGAGCTTAAAATAAAATAAGCAAATAATCAACTTCCAGAACAAAATCAAGTCATAATACTTTTGTTTTACTGATAATTGTGGAAACAAAGCATGAGAGTAACATTGCAAAATTCTTGAATATTTATTCTGTAAGGGATATTGTCAGTTACTCAGTCCTGGCCGACTCTTTGTGACCCCATGAACTGAGCCCGGCGCCAGGCTCCTCTGTCCATGGAATTCTCTAGGCAAGAATACTAGAGTGGATTGCATTTCCTTCTCCACAGGATCATCCCAACCCAGGGATCAAACCCAGGTCTCCTACATTGCAGGCAAGTTCTTTACCCTCTGAGCTACCAGGGAGCCTGTCTAGGGCAGGGTCCCCAACCTCTGGGATCTAATCCTGGTGACCAGAGTTGAGGTAATAATAATAGAAATAGATGCACTCAAAGCACCCCAAATCCATCATCACCCCCACCCTGGTCTATAGAAAAATTGTCTTCCCGAATCTAGTCCCTGGTTGGGGGCTGCTGCTCTAGTGGAATCTCTACATTTCACAAGTTAAAAAACAAGCAAAAAAAAGAATGGGAGAAAATAAAGCAAGTGAAGAAACAGACAAAGAATTAATCCCAAAAATATACAAGCAACTCCTGAAGCTCAATTCCAGAAAAATAAATGACCCAATCAAAAAATGGGCCAAAGATCTAAACAGACATTTCTCCAAAGAAGACGTACAGATGGCAAAAAAACACATGAAAAGATGCTCAACATCACTCATTATCAGAGAAATGCAAACCAAAACCTCAATGAGGTACCATTATACGCCAGTCAGAATGGCTGCTATCCAAAAGTCTACAAGCAATAAATGCTGGAGAGGGTGTGGAGAAAAGGGAACACTCTTACACTGTTGGTGGCAATGCAAACTAGTACAGCCACTATGGAGAAGAGTGTGGAGATTCCTTAAAAAACTGGAAATAGAACTGCCATATCACCCAGCAATCCCACTTCTGGGCATACACACCGAGGAAACCAGATCTGAAAGAGACATGTGTACCCCAATGTTCATCGCAGCACTGTTTATAATAGCCAGGACATGGAAGCAACCTATATGCCCATCAGCAGAAGAATGGATAGAGAGCTGTAGTACATATACACAATGGAATATTACTCAGCCATTAAAAAAAATTCATTTGAATCAGTTCTAATGAGGTGGATGAGACTGGAGCCCATTATACAGAGTGAAGTAAGCCAGAAAGAAAAACACCAATACAGTATACTAATGCATATATATGGAATTTAGAAAGATGGTAATGATAACCCTATATGCAAGACAGAAAAAGGGACACAGTTGTATAGAACAGACTTTTGGACACTATGGGAGAAGGCGCGGGTGGGATGATCTGAGAGAAGAGCATTGAAACATGTATACTATCAAGGGTGAAACAGATCGCCAGTCCAGGTTGGATGCATGAGACAAGTGTTCGGGGCTGGTGCACTGGGATAACCCAGAGGGGTGGGGTGGGGAGGGGGGTTCAGGATGGGGAACACATGTAAATCTATGGCTGATTCATGTCAATGTTTGGCAAAAACCACTACAATATTGTAAAGTAATTAGCCTCCAACTAATAAAAATAATTGGGAAAAAACAAAAAAATCCCAAAAAACTTGTTAGAATAAGAAGCTGGCTCACAGATACAGAGGACAAACAAGTGGTTACCAGTGGAGAGAGGAAAGAGGGGACAGGCAGTATAGGGGTGGAGAAGTAAGAGGGACGAAGTGTTATGTATAAGGTGAGCTACAAGCATATATTGTACAACATGGGGAATATAGCCAATATTTTATAATAACCATAAATGGACTATAACATTTAAAAATTGTGGATCACTATATTGTACATCTGAAACTTCTATTGTATGGCAACTATACTTCAAATTTTTTTAAAAAGAGGGAAAAATGAGTTGTTAGAAGAACTGCTATAGAGTTACTGACAGAACTGGGTCTAAAATCCAGGTTTACATCAATGCTTATATATATTACCTCACATACTTACTATGTAACTTTAAAAAAAAAACTTCTCTTTTAAAGTCTCATTAATTATATTAATGAGATTATATTAATTATTCTTTAAAACCATAGTCTGAGGAATATGGAGTGTTTGATAATTGAGTTATGGTAAGGAATTTAGCCAAACTCTGATTCTGATGAGGGACTTTGAAGTATATAGTAAGGGAACAAGCATATTTGTACAAATATAGAACAGGCTCAGAGAAAGCGTATTAATATTTCTCTGTAAGTCCTACTTTGTTTTCTTATCTAAACTTATTATATTTTCTCAGAAAGTAATTTGTTATTCTTTATTATAGAAACATTCTAAGTTGAAGATAAAAATTCTACCACATAATTATAACCATTTTAATATTTTAATTGCTTTCCTATATACATATAAATTGGAGTAGGAAATGGCAACCCACTCCAGTATTCTTGCCTGGAAAATTCCATGAACAGAGGAGACTAGGAGGTTACAGTTAGTGGGGTTGCAGAGTCGGAAACGACTGAGCAACTGAACACAAATGCATACATTTAAATATAGAATCATAGTGTATATAATGTTTGTAAACCACTTTTTTTTCATTTGATGTTACCTTTCCTTTTTTCTACTTTTTTTTCCCTGCTTGTCTGCACCGTGCAGCCTGGGGGAATTTTAAATCTTTCTAAATCAATAAAGCACCATCTTTTGAACAGCATGCACTTTGCCATATGAATTAATCACAGTTTTCCCAACCTGTGTCTTGCTTGCTCAGTTGCTTCAGTCATGTCTGATTCTGCAACCCTAAGGACTGTAGCCTGCCAGGTTCCTCTGTCCATGGCAAGAATACTGGCAGTGGGATGCCATTTCCTCCAGCAGGGGATCTTCTCGACCCAGGATTGAAGCATCATCTCCTGTATTGCAGCTGGATTGTTTACCACTGAGCCACCTTAGGTTTGGACATAAAATTATTTTGGAGTGAGGGAAAAGAATAAAGTGCCTCTTATAATTCCACAACCCTAACTCGACTGCTAGCATCAGCCTTTGAGTGTCTTTCATATGCACTGGATAGTGAAAGATGAACTACAGTTCATACAGAGAATAAAAACCTCTTTGAATACTTACCTATTTAAGCATGACTCCTACTGTTGTAGGTGTTTGAGAGACTCAGCAAAACAAAGTCCCAAATAAAGCTGACACAAATTGTGATGCCTTATCTGAAGCATACTGTGTGATGAAGAGTAAATAACATGCTTAGCATTTTGGGGGTTGCTTCCCTTGTACTAGTCATTGCACTAGTCATTGCCCATTAGGTCTTCAGGTACTTACAACAGCTCTGTGAAGTAAGTATTAACTACCAACTCATTTTACAAATGAGGAAAAGTTATATAAAAAGCCCAGATCACACACCTGCTAACGGTGAGATCCAGACTGAGGTCAGTTGGAACTCTTGCTCAGCTGTTTTTGGTTCTAAGAGCCATGTTTTGAGAAAGATATTAAAAATCAGAGCAAACCCAGAGGATAGTATCCAAGTTAGAAAGGGGTCTGAAAATCACATTATATGAAGATTGGCTGAAGAACTTCACACTGTTCACTTGAAGGAGAGAACAAACTAAGTGGAGCATAAACGCTGTCTCCAAAATGGCACAACTATCAAATGGAAAGAAAAATGCTACTTATTCTAACTATCTCTAAAATGCAGAACCAGAACCCAAAAGAATTCTGTTTCCAGAAAGAAGTTTTTAAAGGGCAGATTTTAACTCAAGATCAAGAATAATTATTTTCCTGTTGGAACTATTAACAGTGGAATGTGTTTTCTTATGAGATGGTAAGCATTCAGCTACTGGAAGCCTTTGAGCCAAGCTTGGGATGATTGCCAACAGTTGGAATACAGGGCTGCATCTAACAAGAAGAAATTTAAGAAGACAAATATGAAGTCCTTTATTTGGTTCCAGAAAAAAAAAAAATAATTTCAGGGTGTTGGAGTTGTAACTTAACAGGAACACCTGTCAAAAAGCTTTAAGAGATTTAGTGATGCTGAACATAAAGCCTCAATGTGCTATAGCTGCCAAAATAGCTACTGTGATCTTGGTAAAATGTCTTAGAAAAGTGTCTCAACTTGCGCCAGGGGTGATGGTCCCAGTCTACGGTGTGCTGGTCTTATGCCTGGAACACTGTGTTTCCCCATAGGCGCCGCACGTAAAATAGCAGAGCCGAGCAGGGGCTTGTTCTACGTGGACGGTGAGGGGACCCAAACCAGCGGGAATAAATACATAAGTCTCCTCTTCAGGGAGAGGAGACAGTCGTCCCTCGAACCTATATGTGACTGCATATCTCAGTCTATAGTGTCAGTGTCTAACTAAAGAATCAGTGTCTAAATAAACACAGGAATCAGTGTCTAAATAAACACAGTAATAAGCATTAGAATTCCTGTCTAAAACACAGGAATCAGTGTCTAAATAAAGAAGTAAAGTCAGGGAAGGTTGGACTTAATTTCACAATGATCAGAGAAACAAGGAAGTTCCAAAAGTTGCTATCTAAACAGAGATACATGCGCATGAGTTACCTAGGGACTCAGTTCTGATTCAGCCAGAGACAATCTTTATCTTCGGAGCATTTTCATTGAACTGACTACACAGCAATGGCTTTTTCTCTATGATGTTTTAAAGATTCTAAATTTCTTCAAATAATCAGATGTGAGAGAAAAAAAAATTTTGTCCTCCCTGATTAAAATGGTAATTCCAAGACCAATATGTGAAAGCCATATCATTTTAGTTTTGTATAAGGAAGTTTCTTTTAAAAGTTTTCCTCCCCTCTACTTTCTGTTCTCCCTTCCCAGGATTTCATGGAAATGTTGCACCTCCTAAACTGACTGATTCTCAATTGTCCTTATCTTTTTTCTCTTATTTTCGTTTTTTCCCTATTGTGTTTTCTGCAGGATTTACTTATTTTTCATCATTTTATTTGTCTGTTTGTATCAGACATTAACTGAAGAAAATTTTGTCTCTGAACATTCCTTTTATATTGTGTAGAGTATCTTCTCTTTTCTCTGAGGATGGTACATTTTTTTAAGTTGTTTTCTTTCTACACTATCTTGGCATCTTCAGAGATGAAAACAGTTTCCATCCCCTACTTCAGAGATGGATCGATCGTTCTAAGGTTCTTCCTACCCCCTTTGCCAGTGGCTGGTTCAGAAATGGACACATGGGCCAGCTTGAGCCAGTGAGACATGAGAGGTTTGCTGAGGTCTCCTGGGAAAGTTTTTCTTCCTTCTCCTGGGAACACTTAAGGGAGCAGTGTTAAGCTTTCTCCTATAACCTCTCAAGACTGCTGCTCAACACTGCCAGGCTGGAGTTGCAGCAAACATATTGCTACCAGCTTCATGAATCAGCCAACATACTGAGGGGGAAAACTGAATAAAGCCATCCTTGGAAACCTGGCCTTCTGGATTTTCAGTTATGTGATACAATTTATGTCCTTGTTATTTAAGCCATTTGGTTTTCTGTTAAAGCAGCTTATCTGATCCATTGTCCAAATGCTATTGATAGCTGAGCAAGCCCAGTCAATTCCAATGGTCAAAAGTTTAACTTCTCTATTCCTCCATTTCAGCTCTTCTGATAGAGCTTTATGCTGAGTTATTTTGATCTGCTCCCTCTGTCAAGTGTGTTTTCACCGCAAATAGGAAATTTTCTGGGTCACATAGCATTTATTTAACTTGCCTGAACTGCTGTTTCTTAATGTAAAGCTACATAAGATCTAAAAACCTTTATATTTTTCTTTTCCCCGAGGAGAGACAAAAAGTTCTAGAAACATTTCCTCTTTGTACATTTCCATCAACAACATTTATGTTACTTACTTGACTTGATTTCAGGCCAATCAGCTTGTTCTATTCTGTGGTCTTCATATTTTATGTCCAAATATGCAAATATGTAACGAATAATTTCTGCTCTCCCCCTCATATTAAAATAAATGAGTTTGTAGTTTGGCATGGTGTGATTCTGGAAAGAGTGAAACAGAGGAATTATTTTAACAGCTCTCTAGAGATGTTTCAACATTTTTCTTGAAGGACTTTTTGAAAAATTTATAGCATCGTCTGAGATAACCAGAGACATTAGAGGATATTTCAAAACCAGAATTATAAATCATTATCTTAATAACATATGGGGAAGATTTAATAGAAATAAGATCCTCTCTTTAAGAACTAGCTGGAACATGTCAGTGAAAGAACCAAATCCAGGTTTTATTTATAAAAAGATATCAGAGAGTAAACTTTGAAGAATGGAGTCAAAAACTTTGCATTTTAGGATTTTTTTTTTTTCTTCTCCCTTTAGACACTTGTAATGAATGGTGTTTGCCATCTGCTTTGTTGTTTGCTTTGGTGACACAGCTGAGTTTGTGGGGACAGCTGGGTAAGGATTGCAAGGGCAGGGTACACACAAGAGGCATGTAAACCAGCATGTCAATTTGTCATTCCCTCTCTTCCCTCCCCCGTTGATTTTTCCTGAAGGAAGGGAAGACTAGGGGAAATACTGCTCTCTTCTCTTACTGCATCCATGCTGCTGAGTTCTATTGTGTTGCTTCCACATACAAACAGATCCCATATTGGGGACCTCTGTTGGGATGGGATGATGGTGAGCATATGTCTTTATTCCCTCTGCAGAGGAGCTCAGAAAGACACAAATGTTTCTTACATTTCAGGAAGTTTGCTAAAATAGGCTATATTGGTTAGATGGAGGTCATCATAATTTTGTGAGTTTTTTGTGATTTGTACAATTTCATTTCTATTGTCTGTAAACATTTAGTAATTTTAAGCACTAATAGTAGAATGTATTGCAATCTTATAATGATTAGGCAACTGAAACACATTTTCATTTGAAGTTCCATTCTTCCACATAGTTTCTGTGTGTGTTTGGGTGAGTCAACATACTAGTATCTCCAAATTTCAAAGTCCACTTTTTATAAATAGAGATACTAATATGGATTTGGAGATTTAATGAGGTAACACATGTAAAGCGTTATTTAGCACAAAGCTAGACACTGAATTTTTAGCTGTTAGTAACTTTGAATTCATTCTACTCAAGAATAAACACCATTACAACACACAAAAATTTAATTAAATAAAAATAATAAATAGCATTTATTTATTTAAAGTGCTGAGCTTAAATAGTTTATTCTCTACTAAGGAAATCTTTCAGAGATATTAATGGAATATTAGATAAAAAGTTGGCTGAATTTGGAATGCAAAGTTCCATCTGAAATCACTTCTCATAAAAGATAAAACACAAATCATAAAAATCTAGATTGCCTAGGTCACATCCCGAGTACATGTGATCTCAAGTGTCTCTCTGTGGGGATGCTGATGGGGAATAACTGATTGTTTATCTAGACCCCCTCCAGATCCAGGAAACAGTGATGGCGATTCCTAGCGAATCTATTTCTCTAGGCCCAGGTTTTTTCATACCTAGATGCCATGGAGGTGGCGCTCCTTATAAGAGACAGAATCACCCTAATAGTCTGTGTCCTGTCCACTTCCATAAGCTAGTCTAGTCCCCACCCAAGTGAAATGTGGCACATACCACACATCAGTATGTGGGAATGTTCCCAAAAGAATTTGCTAGAGTAAACTAATGAAAATTCCAAGGTTTACAGCCCCAGATTCCTTTGGGATGAAATATGCATATAGGAAATCCACATTTGGGGCACTAAATGAAGTGCCCATCAGAACAATGAGGTTGTTTTCCAAGTTTCTTGGAAATATTGAGCCTAGCAATAGTGGAAAAGATATGAGAACAAAAAAAAATAGTGGATAAAAATGTAAAGTAATAAATTTCCTTCTGAAAAAACATTTTACATAATCAAATAAAGGGTCCACTTTCATGCAGGATACAAAATGTAATTGTTAGGATTCCTTGGTCTATTTGTTTAAAATCTCAAAAGGACAAAAATAACTTTCAGAGTGGAATTGTTGTTCTTAATTGGAGTTTTTATTTGAAAAGCATTTCATGTTGGGGTCCTTTAATGGACTGGAACCTGGTGGTCCGGAGTTGATGATAAGAAAGTGAAAGAAGGAAAGAGGCTAATATTCCCTGGGTTACGCAGCCGGCTTCCGTGCTCCAGGGAATCAGCCAGAAATAGAGAGAGGACGACACAGGGACCCAAGTCTGGTGGAACATGGGTGCTTTATTGAATTCTGTGTGGGTATATATACCATATTACAAGGTAGCTTCTAAAGATAAAGATCAAAAGACCAGACTTTACAAGTTACCAAGGAAACAAGGAGCAATAGAGGCCATAAGGCCAAAAGGCAATCCATCTCGAGAGGGTCATAGGTAATCCCTTTCACCATATGGAAAGGGTAATGAAGGAAATCCTATGCCAGCATCCCATCTCTATGATCTCAGTCCTGGGAGTAGCTTGCCACTCCTCTTGCTCCTGACAGGGACTGATAAGGAACAAAGGGCTCAAGAGAGAGAGAAACAGCACACAGGAATCCTACTGTTAAACATTCCCTGACAATTCCCCCTATTTGTAAAAAAGGTCCTGACCATTTGAGTTTGTTTAGTTTTAACAATTTTTGCAGAAAGGCAACGGTAAACAACAAATAAAATTGCCAAGACAATCACCAGAGTTACAGTTTCAGACCGGATGCTGTGGGGGATGCTTGTCAGGGAATGTTTAACAGTAGGATTCCTGTGTGCTGTTTCCTATCTCTCTTGAGTCCTCTGTTTGAGCATTGTTTTAAGGTGAGTTTGAGGTCAGCCAGTCCTCTTTATAGACCAGTCCAGTGTAGGGACCTTTGGAAGTAGGAGTTAGTCCAAGAGTCAATTTTCCTTCAATATCAAATTTAGATTTACACTCTTTGGCCCAATGCATTCCCCTACAGCAGCGGGGGCAGACTTTTGGAGGATTTTTATTAGCTTTCTTAGGGCAAGCCCTTTTTTAAATGGTTCTTATCCCCGCATATAAAACATCCCTCATTTCTCTTTTTAAAGCAAGCAGCCATTGTTTCAGCCAGCATTTGCATTTTTTGAGTTTCTGATCCTAGATTGCAACAAGCCTTCAAATAATCAATGATAGTCCCTGTCTCACGAATTGGGGCTATAGCCTTTTGACATTCCTGATTTGCATTTTCATAAGCAAGTAATTTCTCTAGTTGCCTTTTAGCTTCTCCGATTACAGTACAGGAAATAATAGTTTCTAATCTAGCTAAAAAATCAGCATAAGTTTCATTAGGTCCTTGCAATATTTTAGTGTAGCTACCTGTATGTTCCCCTTGAGGAGTAATTCTATCCCAAGCTTCAAGGGCCACTGTTTTTAATTGTTCATGCAACAAAGGAGGGCATTGTAGTTGAGCTTCTATAGTGTCAAATTGTCCGGTGCCAGTTAACATTTCAAAAGTAATTTGATATTGGGGAGCACCAACTCTAGCGTTTTTGTCAGCATGATCTCTGGCTGTATCTTGAAACTACATTGTCCATTGAAGATATTCTCCCGGTTTAAGGAGAGCTTTTATTAAAGTTCGCCAGTCATAGAGAATAAAGGTTCCAATAGAAGACACCATAGCATTTAGAATTTCTCTAGTAAAAGACGAATGTGGACCATACATAGTTACAGCCTTTTTCATTTGTTACATGTGAAAAAGGCTAACACCTTCATATTAAGGTATTATTTGCCCTTGAGCATTAGCATTTCTTAAAACTGGGAAGGTGGACAAACCATTGGCTTCAGAGACTTGTGACTGCAAAGCCAGCAATTCAAACAGCCTCTGTCATGAAAGAGAGTGAGTAGGTAGCAATTTTTTGCAAATATGAGTTTGTGCTAAGGACTTATCATTATTATCTAGCAAAGTATTGCCAGTTTTGGTGTCACAAAGTGTCTCAGGAGAGTCGTCAGAATCATTAGGTTCTAGAAAAAGAGAGATTTTTGGATTCACTCCTGTTGGCAGAGGAGGAGCATTTGGAGCAGCCAGGGCAGGGCTTGTAGGAAAATTCTGAAATATTTTATGTTGTTCTAATTGGGCCTTTTGTAAAGTTTCATCATCTAATTCATATTCATGTAATAAGAGTTCTGTCTGTTGTCGAATATCAGGAGGGCTAGAATTGCCTTGAAATGGCAGAATTACAGCTTTAATGAGAACCCACAGGGGCCAAAAATCAATTGGAATATTTTTTTTCCCCATCTGGCGGCTCGTTCAACCTTCCCTTTGACCTGGTGCCAAATTTCTAGATCAAAACTGCCTTCATCAGGGAACTAGGGATTATGTTCAACTATTGTTTGAAGGCAAGCCTCTACTCATCGGCGTGAAACCAACAGTCCCTAAACTTTAAATAAATGATGAAGTAAAGTAGAAAAGTGAGGGGGCTCTCCAGTCGTTTGACCCATGTCCTTATACTTACCAGCTTCAATAGGCCCTGAGTCACTCCATCTGAAGTGTCACGTATACCAGGCCCCTGTTCTGGGCGCCCCTTGTTGGGAGTCCTTTAATGACCAGAACCTAGTGGTCCGGAGTTGACGATAAGAAAGTGAAAGAAGGAAAGAGGCTAATATTCCCTGGGTTACACAGCCGGCTTCTGCGCTCCAGGGAATCAGCCAGAAATAGAGAGATAGGGGGAGAGAGAGAGAGAGAGAAGGACACGGGGACCCAAGTCTCTGGTGGAACAGGGGTGCTTTATTGAATTCTATGTGAGTATATGTACCGTATTACAAGGTAGCTTCTTCAGATAAATATCAAAAGACCAGGCTTTAAAGTTGCCAAGGGAATAAGAAGCAATAGAGGCCACAAGGCCAAAAGGTAATCCATATCAAAAGGGGGTCATAGGTAATCCCTTTCACCATATGGAAAGGCTAATGAAGGAAATCCTATGCTAGCATCCCATCTCTATGATCTCAGTCCAGGGAGTGGCTTGCCACTCACTCCTCTTGCTCCTGACAGGGACTAATAAGGAACAGAGGGCTCAAGAGAGATAGGAAACAGCACACAGGAATCCTA